CAGGGGGGCCCCACGTACCAGATGGATGGACGCTGTCCGACGTGACCTGAGCAACATCAACATCCAGCTCCCCCAGACACAGCAGCTGGCTGAAGACAGAGGAAAGTGGCGGGCCCTGACAAAGCTAGTCAGCTCTACGCACCACGTGCAAGAGGATTGAGTGAGTGGTCATCTAGACAACCATGAAGCAAGAAAATAACAATGAACACAACTTTACAAGCAAGATATTTATATAAACACATGGGCCTATCCCTGTACTGTTTATGAGAATCATTTATAATACAAGAGATATTTTGAGGTAAAAAAGTATCTTGTGGATATATATGAAATCTGGAACTACATTTTGGGGGTAGGAGGGGTATTTTCAAAGGAAAATGACACAATAAGGAAACAAGAACCATTGGGGTCGTGTGGCAAAATGGCAGAGCATTCGGCTCTGAACCAAGAGGTCCCGGGTTCGAATCCTACCAAGTCACCAACTTTGGGAAATGCACTTATATTCCTCACTTCACTCAGGTGAACATGAGTATGTCAGATGATCATGATCGTGGGCATTAAAAAAAACCAAACCAACTAAATTACAAGTAATACTACGCATTTTAACAGACAACATACAGTTATATCTACTCATTTTGTTCTTCTACAGCTACACTTAACCCTTGTCCTGCTGGCATTCCTGGCACAATATTTTTCAATAATTTCATGTCTTAATTAGATCATAGACCCGCAAATTTTTTTGCCCTGCAGTGGCATAGTTACTTCCGCATTCGTTGCGTTTCGCTGCGGTGTGATGCGTTGCACGAGAGATATCCCCAAATCATACCTATACAGGGTGCTATATAGGTGGTACTGTATGTGCCGCGCGACATATGTTGCGCACAGCAGGACAAGGGTTAAAATTCTTTACCAATGCTTACTCTCAATGCTAGCATACACACAAACACACACACACACGTGCCTTAAATTTCTTCATTTCAAAACAAAGACCTCGACGAAAACTGTACCAAATGACCATAAAGATGGGGATTATAAGCAACAATAAAATAAATCTAACCCCTTGAACTGAAACTTAATGTAGAATACAGCAGGGGTCAAAATTCATTTTTGGGAATGTCGTTCGTCCGTCAGGTTGACGAGGACCGCTTTGTCATCCCTCTGTAGTAGGGTGTGTCCTCAGGTGACTGTAGAGTCCAATTTTCGCCCGGAACCGGCGCTCACAGTGCGGGCAGGAGAACAGAGCAGTGTTCGCCACAGGACCGGCTGCACCCTCCTTCCTGGCTCGTCTCTTCTGCTGTGCGGCAGTTCTGCGTGCTTCCTCACAGGTAGCAGCACCCTCTCTAACTGTGCGTCGCCACAGTGGTCGGTCATTGGCAAGTCTTTCCCACGAGTCTGCCTTTATGTTGAAGGCTTTCAGGGATGCTTTAAGAGAGTCCTTGTACCTCTTCCTCTGGCCACCACGTGACCGTACACCTTCTTCAAGTTCACCATAGAACAGTCTCTTGGGTAGTCTATGGTCTGGCATACGGACCAAGTGTCCTGACCATCTAAGCTGGGACTGCATCAGAATGGTGTGAATACTCGGCACACCTGCACGAGTCAAAACCTCCGTGTCCGGTATTTTCTCTTGCCATTTGATGCGCAACAGCTTCCTAAGGCGGGTGGTATGGAAGTGATTTAATTTCCTGGCATGGCGTCGGTACACAGTCCATGTCTCACACGCATACAAGAGTGTTGGGAGTACGATGGCTTTGTACACCTTAAGTTTTGTCTCCATACGGATCCCACTTCTGTTCCAAACACTGTCATGAAGTCTGCCAAATGCAGCACTTGCCTTTGCAATCCTGGAATTGACTTCATCGTCAATATTAGCATGCTGATTGAGGGTGCTTCCCAGGTAGGTAAATCTGTTGACAGCATTGAGTTTTGTGTCTTGGGAATAGGTGCACTGGTGCACCCAACATAAAAAAACTGGGTGCACAAAAAATGTTTGGGTGCACCATATAAAATAAGTAGAATGTCAGCAAAAACTAATTTTGTTTTATTTCTAAAGAAAAGCAGTACAAGAATATGCTGTATACTACTATACGTTTAATATCTTGACATGTTTAAACCTACGAATTCAAAATATTTGGGTGCACTGGTGTAACAAAGAAAAAAATTGCACAGCTCCCAATTTTGGGTGCACTAAGGTGCACATGCACCAAGTATTTCCAGCCCTGATACATAGAATAAACTTGGCCAAAATTGTTTGAAACAGCAATTGCAACCTTCCAGCGTAGTCAACTGTAGTGTAGTCACAAATACTTGGGTCTTCCTTGGTCATTACAATTACTTAATTAGTCTAAAGTTGAAACGAACAAGCTTTCAAATTATACATAATACATCATAAATAATAATGAAGAACTAAAGAATGGTCAAACCAAACGTTTTGTATCGTATTAATTTCGGCACCTTGATTTAAGTTGAAGCTTTGAAGACCCCATCTTGTTTACGCGAGTTTTTGGCGGGATCATCAAAAACATCTAATTATGTAACGCAGGCACATTCCAACAGGTGCTCTGAACCACGTGGAGATAAAGAAAAGAACATGCACGTTTTTTTTCAACAAATATAACCTCAAAACGCTGAACAATTGGCCAAAAAAAAAACGTGCACATAAATTTAATACTCTACAAGCGCACCGCACATTGAAAATGTTGTTGAAAACGCGGCAACTTGATAGACTTTTTCAAAGCCTGAAATTAGTCTAAAATTAGGAACGGTCGCTCTCGAATACAGAACTAGGCCATTTCTTACGGAATATAACACTGTAAATTTAACATGTTCATACTTAAGTTGCTAGGGAATAATGTCAGCAAAACAATTTGCTGGTTTACCTGCAACAATGAGCGAAGTTCGTCTCCATGCCACGCCACTCTTCCCAACTGTTCCGCCATAACTTGTTTTCTGTCTTCTCCGAAATTCGCCAGGTCAGGAAATCCGCATTTTCTCTTCAAAACATCACCAGAACGGCACAAATCCACGGCTGAAACTTCCCAACATTCTGCTGCAAATTTAGTGAAACATTCTACCGACGAGTACTCTACAAAGTAACCAAAAACTTATAAGAAAATCAGACCAGAATATTCCCGCCAACATCAACTATCCGCCATGTTGGATTGGGCGTGCCCACTTGTGTGGGCGGGGTGGGCAGGGTCAAATTGTGACTCCTGATTATCCGTTTAATGTAGCAGAACAGTTTTTGTCTTATAAGCACCACTTCGACACGGTAAAATTATAGTAGGGTGCACTAAAGAAACATGGTATCATATTGAAATCTCCGGTAAAGTATAACATGGGTTGGTTAGTTGGTTGGTTTTATTTAATTCACAATACCTTAATATAGAAAGAGAAGTCCGTAACATAACGGTAAAATCATAGTACTACTAGTAGGGTGCAATAGAGAAACACGACAAATTAATATGCTGCAATTTACGTTAAAATCTGTTTTTTTTTTTTCTATTTACAATATCTTTAAGAGTCATTGCACGAGAAAACCAGGCAGAGGTCGAAAGATGGGGGTCGGCCAAATCGACTCAAACTTTGTATGTGCGATAGGTGTGGGGAACTATGAACAGCCATATATTTAAAACATATTTAAAACAGTAGCAGAATAGTTTATGCCTTATAAGGACCCCACAAAGCGACTCACTTCGACTTTGTAAAAATTATAGTAGAGTCTAGAGAAACACGACCAATTATTACAAATACACGTATGTCACAATATACGGTATAATAAGGCTTTATTTTTTCATGCACAATATGTTTAATATTATATATAAGGCCAGAGCAAGTTAATTTTATGGATGACATCCTCCTCAGACTCCGAAACTAATGCGAGCGGGCGAAAAAAAAACAAGGCGGGCCGAAAAAAACAAGGTTCCTGCATTTTAAAATTCTAACTCAATCATTGTTCAAATGGTTTTTATTCAGTGGGAACATCACATATGCACAGCCAGCATCACATATCACTGCATCAAAGTAAGAAAAAAAAACATCAAATCAAAGCCTTTTCTTGTCTTCTCTCTTCATAGCCATCCACCATCATCTGCCATCCACCTTCCGGCATGGCAACAGACATCTTTGCCCATTTTCGGCATATTGACCACTGTCAGAAGGCAACACAATTTCTTGTTGTTTTTTTCAAAATCAGGAGAAAATTAGTGCGCGCGCGGATGTCATCCATAAGATTTACTTGCTGTGGCCTAAGTTACATATTATATATAAATTGTATCTCATTTCTTTTACAAAACCTCCGGAATGTTTTCCCGAAGACTTTAATCACGGAATTTTGCTATTAAAAGCGTGTTGTTTTATACCATTTGCTAAAAAGATTGTAAGAAAAAAAATGGACCTGCAGCCGACGCACAGTACTAGGTGTTACAAGTATACAAACGCAAATCTACGCCGACTGAACACGCACCATAATTAAACTTTAACAGTCTCAAAACTGACACATTCCTCTATCGTTTACCACATATTCCGTCTCGATTCCATCCATAGAACAATCTCTGCCCCTTTCTCTAGTATTGTGCAGTACTACTTTGTGCCGGACTACTTTTGAGGGGTTCGCCCATGAATACATGTGTCATGCGGCCTTAGTGGACTTCTCTTGGTGCTGAACTGCCATCAATTTCATGTATTAAGTATTGCAGTTGTCACTACTTTGACTACGGAATTTTCGAAGGATAACTCAAGAACCAGTTGACGGATTGCCGTGATTTTTGGTATGTAGGTAGCTGCAGTGATGCTTGACATAATCAAATGATAATTATGCAAAGGACCCCCCCCCCAAGGCGACTAACTTCGATGCAGTGAAAATTATAGTAGAGAAACACGACCAATTATTACAAATACACATGTTACAATACACGTTATAATAAGGCTTTTGTTTTGTTTCATTCATATTGATATATATATACATTGCGAGAGAGAGAGAGAGAGAGAGAGAGAGAGACTGAGCAAATGTGTAATGTTTACCTTCGGACATGGTCTGCTCTGTATTCTTGCTCAAACACATTCACATTCATGCACTACTAGTATATGGTGACTAATGTAGGGTTACATAATGTTGCTATCATGCTATATCGTAGCAACTCTTGATGATGTTTTTGTGTTTACACAATGTCAGCAGGTAGGGGACCTTTCTTCTCCTCATGAGCACCTGGGTCCACCTGGTACGGAGGTGGCGCCTGCTGGCCCGGGTAGAACACCTGCACAGGTGCGCCCGCGGCACCTGGCTTCTGGGCACCTGGGGAAAATATAGATTTAAGAGTTAAAGAAATCTAAAATTATTATTGGCGACATCTCAGGGAGGAGCCTAATGGTACAGCATTGTGTGCAGTTTGCAAGAATTCTAGGAATGGTACAGGCATTTTGTCCACAGGAATGGAATGTCCACAGGCATGTCTCTGACCCACATCTATGCCCACATTCCTGGAAACCCTTGGGAAGACCTCTCTGCCTCGGATGGCCATACTTTCTGTGACCCCGGGGCCTTGTTCACTATACACTCAGGGGAGGAGTGCACTGTATCTGCCTAGACTTAACAGGTACCAACTTACCAAAGTCTTCCTCAAATCATGAAATCATGGCAGTGTCATGCAAACAATAACCCTAACAGCAACCACCGTCGCCATGGCAATGTATGTTTTCTACATGGACCAGAACACCTGTATTGACCGTTATCGTGGCCCAGGTATGACAGAAATGTAACAGTGGGGGGTTTATAGGCGCTACCAACTGATCCAGCCAAGGGGTCTGGACCTTTTCGGTCGAGCGGTTAGAGCGTACGGTTATGAAGCTGGTGCTCGGGAGGTCGTGGGTTCGAACCCGGCCCGAGACCAGAAGTATTTATATCTGTTTCTACAAGCTTCTTGGTTTCTACTGTCTCCCTTTGGTTTCTTAACTTACAGAAAGCTAGTTACCAACCTGGGGTGCCCTGCATCACCACAATGTTTCCGTCTGCTCCGCCGGGAACTGGGCCTGCTGAGTAGATCACAGTCTGAAAAACAAACAAACAAACAAACAAACAAACACGTGAAGGAGAAGACTGTAAACATGTAGGAGTATACTATAACATAAAACATAAAACTAAGACATAAAAATGCAAGGACTGGGTTTTGTAGAATTGTTGACGCGTTCTTTTGCCAGCCAATTCTACAAAGCCCAGTATGAAAACGCCCATCCACTCTACTCTCCAAGCAGATACTGTCTTCGAATGAAAGCTCATCTGTGTTGGTAGAATCCATAGTTAAAGAGTTTGACTTGTTCCAACACAAAAAGGGAACTCACCATAAATTTTCAGCTGATCCCTTCAACCTTCGTCACACATCGAGTCCCCCGGACATACAGTTACATTGGACAAGGTGCGCATTCTAGATACGGAGCAGGATTACTTTGTGAGAGGCGTGAAGGAGGCAGTTTAGATCAGGGCCCACCAACCCTCTCTGAACCGTGATGGTGGGAGATACCGTCTTCCCGCCATTTTTGATGCACTCCTGACGTCATCACGTTTCCGACTTCCGGAAAGTCAGCGACTGCATCACAAATCTGACGAAGGTTGACGGGATCAGCCGAAAATTTATGGTGAGTTCCCTTTTTGTGTTGGAACAAGTCAAACTCTTTAACTACAGATACTGTGTTTTTACCACTGAAAGGGACTTGCTTGGAGATTACATCCACTCGGAGGCCTGCACAGGAGGCTTGTTAGAAACTTGTTCCGTATCCAAAACAAGCCCCTCGTTGGACAAACCAAAACTAGCGTTTAAGTACTTTTCGAAACCTAATGTCTAAGCTTCAGTGTTCCATCTGCAGTACCCACCTGTGCCACCGGGCGGCGCATTTCACAGCAGCTGAGAATGGAGACCACAAAACCGAGAATGATCTCGAGCAAAGCCAGGGAGATGTTCACTGCATGGAGGCTGATGGCAGTCGGTGTACAGTCAAAAGTCTGGTAGTCCCTACAGGTAAAATTTCAAGTCATTAACTTGTGAAAATTAATATCCAGTCACTAGAAGGGCAACACTGGCAAAGCAAATACATTATGTTTTCCTGATGAACTAGCGAACCACCTCTGTTTTTGTTTAGTCAAACACATTCATACATATGGTGACCAGCCCCTCAAACTCTGTCCTGCCACTTGCTACATACTGGTAATGTAACCCAACACCACATTTTCCGTGCCTGACCTCTTGACCTCCTGTCAATCTTCCCACCCATGTGTTGTCAACCTACTCTCAAGTTCAGTAATCCCCCTTTGTCTGACTTTTTAGCCTGTCAGTCTTTCCCCTGATGACCCAATTGCTGTCTGGACACACAGACACACAAACCTTAACTCAGCACCCAAAACATATCATCCTTGCTAAGGAGTTCACGAGCTACATGTCAGCACTAGAGATGCTACAGCTACAGACTCTTGAAGATCGCAGAATAGCCCTGTGCTGTGTTTGCCAACAACATACAAGCTTCTACCCTCTACCGACACTGGCTGCCACAAACCAGGGGTGGTGTCAGTGGGAGGATGACAAGACAACAAGCAAAACCTGACCAATTGCCAGCGTGCACAGAGCGGTACAACAAAAGTACATTACCGTACCTTGTTCACATCTTAAATCATGAATAGTCTGTGTAATGTATGATCTTAATGTTATCATTTAATGACTGTTTTCAAACACGGAATTTAATTCACTGTCTAACGCTTAATGACTAAACACAGAATGATGATCAAGATTTTAATCCACTGTCTAACGCTAATCACACAATTCAGCCTTGTGGCTGCCATGTGATGGTGCTGTATTGTGAGTTGTGTTTGTGTTTGAAATAAACCAAACTAGAAAGGCCGACATTTGCTTGGGAGCAAATACAGCATATTTCAGTCCATCTCCCTCCCACGCAAAAGTGGACTATTCCAAACTTACCCCAATGCAAAACTGGCAAATGTTCTCAAACAAATGAATTAAATAGTAGCTATATGAGAACAAAGATGCAACAACAAGTACTTTGAATCTCGAAAGCTTTACTAATCTTATTACAGGTATGCAAAAACTAACAATGATGAGATTTAATACATTTTGAAGGTCTTAGGCACATAAAATTGAATGTGTGGGTCATTACGCACCACTTAGGTGCAATGTGACCTCAGGTAACCCGCAATGGAACACATGTTCCATGGATGGAACCGGACATTCTTTAGATAGAACATGGAACGGGTATAGCACTTTTGGCCCTTTTTTTGCTGAAAATAGCCATTAAAGTCCCCCAAATGAGTCATTTGGAAGTGGTGTATGCCAAATACATGACTGTTATTCTGTAGACACACGTTCAAGGTACCCTTATACCGAATGTCATATCATTTGGTTGTAATACCAGGGCTCAGGATCCAAAAATCCATTTTTTGTCGAAAAATGCCCCAAAAAACCTTCATAAAAATTTTTCAAAGGCATGTTTCAAACAAATGACAAAAAACGTCTGGGGGTATTTGCCCACTCTACCTCCATGCCAAATTTCAGGTCATTTGGCTGAATGATGGCGGAGTTGAATCCCTTTGAGGGGACACAATATATTTCATCGATACCATAGTATGGACTGAAATATAATGATGATCTACTTCCATTATCACGAATTCTCCTTACCAGATTTGAGGATCGTTGTACGGGTTCGGGTAGCTCACATAGCGTGCCCGAGTGGCATTGTAAGCGTCCCAGTCGAAGTGATGACAGACGGGTAAGCAGCGGTTCACCACGATCCCCAGGGCCGCGAAGGCGATGCAGAGCACACACGTCACGATCACGAGCACGCCCACCACCAAGAATGCTATAACCTGTGGAGGGGAAATAAGTGACAAGGTTATCATGAAAGTTCATCTGTGTTGGTAGTTACATGTTTAAAGTTAAAACTTTTGATCCAACACGAAAATTCTCTCACCTAGAGCTTTCAACCAGTCACTCTGGTCTTCCTCAGTAGACTGACCCAGTGAAGCTTGTCACGTGGCTTCTTTGAAGTGTGACGTCAACACTGGGTCAAAGGTATCTGGTAGACTTCAAAGAAGCCACGTGACAAGCTTCACTGGGTCAGTCTACTGAGGAAGACCAGAGTGACTGGTTGAAAGCTCTAGGTGAGAGAATTTTCGTGTTGGATCAAAAGTTTTAACTTTAAACAAGTGACAAGGTTGTAGGGGGGGGGGGCTTCAGACTGCCAAAACCAAGAACAGCCTCAGCCAAACGAACATTTCTGTACCGCTGCACTAAATCATATAACACACTTCCACAACACATCAGACTATCCGCACCTACATCGTTAAAGAAACATATCCGGGAATGGTTCAAAACCGTGGTGGACACCTCCAAACCCTTACAAGCATGGTGGTAGTAGAAATGCAGATATGTAAATATGAATCTTTGTCTAAATTTTATTTTTACGACCTCTGACCTCTCGGTACTACTTGCATGTTGTGTGTGGTTATGTAGTGTGTAGGTAAGCCTTACCATGTTGTGATGAAAGTAGTTTGTAGTCAACGACTCCAGGAAGAATAGTATGTATGGCAAATGATGTCTGTACAAACTAATGGAGATCGGTCTAATAAACAAATAAACAAGGTGTTGTATTCAGAACCGTGTTTCATCCGGAAACTTAGATCACAATATTAATACAATAAAAGATATTCTATGTTTATACTCACCAGGCATTTATTTGTTGGTTTCTTAGCGCTTAAAATACCCAGAATGCCTGTCGTAAGAACCTGCGGACACATAAAAATAAGATGATTGAAGTTGAAAGTTGAAAGGTAAAGGTTAAAAGTTCGGTTCAAGGTTCAGAGTAAAGGTTAGACTGGAGCATTGATGAGAATGTCAAGGTTCAAATGTTAAAGGATAAAGTTCAAAGGGCAAGGGATAAAGTTGAAGATTGAGTGAGGTTAAAGGTCAAGAATGAAGTTGAAAGGTCAAATTTGGTGAAGTTAAGGTTAAAGGTCGGAGTGCCTGACCCACCAGCAGCCCGGTCCAGACAGGTGCGCTGAGGAAGTGGAACGGGGTGTCGACGCGATAGCCCGCGAAAGTGATGTCAGCAGCGACCCCTAGCGTCACGCTGAGGCATCCCAGGACGACCAGTGTCCAGCCCAGTCCACGCACCACGCGAGGTTTGTACGCGCACGCCATGACAACTGTGCGGTAAACAAAGTACAAGTCTTAGCATGAAATTTCATCTGTGTTGGTACAAATCATTATGAAATAAAGACTAAACTTTAACTTCCAACACTCTATATGTAGAATAATTGGGACTTACCCCAAATTTTCGGCTGACTCCGTCAACCTTGTTCACGGAATGGACCCGTCCACTCTTGGAACGTGAACAAGGTTGACGGAGTCGATCAGCCGAAAACTTGGGGTAAGTCCCAATTATTCTATATATAGAGTGTTGGAAGCTAAAGTTTAGTCTTTATTTCATAAAGTACAAGTCTACAGAAAGGCAACAAACATGCCCTGGGATCTAGCCTGGGTACCATCCTACTTGTATGCCGGGGCTCCCACACTCGCTTCCCTAAGAAGTAAGGGAAGCGTGTGTGGGAGCCCCGGTATACAAGTAGGATGGTACCCAAGCTACTGGGATCGTCCTGATCAAATGAACAAACAAACAGACGCGATGATGGGGTATCGTGTGTTCCAGTCATTTGCCCTCGGCTCACCCCCCCTAGCCAATTTCTACTATCCCTAAGGCCATGTTGATTTGATTATATGGATGACATCCTCCGGGAGC